TTAACATTTAGCTAGCTAGCTTTAACATAGATCACAAAAGTACCATATATTGAGTGCGAACAGGAAATTAGTGTATTTAGAGCTTTCAGGGCAAGAGATACTCTTGGAAGAACTGGGTCTTCAAGGGTTTCTTGAAGGAGTAAAGAGAATTTTGATGCTCTGGTGCTTGTAAGGGAGTTCCAGCCACGTGGAACCACAGATGAGAAGAGTCCAGATCGGGAGTGTTTTCAGATGCTTTTAACAGGCCAGTAACTCCAAATGTATGAGAATAACATTTAGCATCGGCCTTACAAAGTACTTTTCCATACACTTAAAGTAGCTTTACAATTTTAAGCATTCTTCATTCACTCCTCAGTCACTTTTTGTGTGGAAGTGTCATACTAAACCTAAAAAGGTCCCAAAGAACCACCACCGTCATACATGGGCAGGCTGGGTTACATGCCATGCCCATGGGCACAAAGACGCTGTGCGCCTGGGCCGGTATTCGAACCGATGACCCTCTGGATGCTGGGGTAATGCCTACGCACGATAGGTGGCACAGTTCAGGTGAATAAATTAACATTTAAAAAAAAAATCTATTCAGTAGAAGTCAAAGGGAAACTGGAAATTGAAATTTACATATACAGTTTGAATCTGAACAACTTGAGACTAAACTAAAGTTATAGGAGCATGAGTGGATTTTACAAAACATTCTGTCTCATATGTGTCCTGATGAGCCCCTTCACCCCTAGTTTTTTCTGTGCTTTTTATCCCTGCCTGGTACTCCCTCAGTGCTTTGTCCACATGCAGCTTTGTTTCTTCAATGACTCAATTTCTAGTCGAGCTGCTGTTGGGCCCTGCGTTTAAACTCATCCAAATCAAAATAGCTTCTTTCTTTTATGTCTATTAGGTAAACTTTAACGTCTAAGATGGGCATGTAATGGGGCTTTAATGGCTGAGTAATGGCGCGTAAATGCAGATATTATGGTGCTGATGGAGCTTTTTTTATCTTCCTGGTCCCTTAAAGTGCACTTTGTCAGATTTGTTTTCATATCATTCTGGAATCACTTCTAATTTCAGCTGTTCTTCCCAGTGCAGGCCATACTTTTCTATCTCCCATGCTGTCTTTTTCTCTGGAATACTACTGCCACCATTATCTCAGTCAGTGAAACCTGGCCACACACACCTTGTTTTGCACAGACTCTGTCAACCTCACCCTCCATTCCTTCTATGTAACACCAGTATAAAATACAAACTCACAGCTTGAAGGTGCATGGTTCTCCTGACCAACTGTCTTCTCGACCAGGTGGTCAGCAACCTGTATCAGTCCCTTTGACCTGTTATCCACTTTTTTTTAAACCTCTAGAATGAAGATAATTTACACTTATCTACCGCTATGCTCTGTAAAAATAACCTGTATATAAAAAAAGTTTAACATTTAGGTTAGAAAAATAAAAAGAGGGTAAAGAATATCCTCAGCACCGAGCTCCAACTCAACCAATGTACATCCGGAAATTCAAACAATTTTTATTTTGAGATGCATACTGTAGTTGAAAAATATTTGACCAACTTAAAACTGGAAAGACAACCACACAACAGGAATTGTCAGCAGCAAGAAATAAGTGGTTCAGTTTTCTATGTACTCTCACAGACAGTTTTTAAATTATGTGATATTGTGGGAGACTAAGTGGTACACTCACTTGCCCTATGGTTGGAGGGGCAGATGTGCGCATGTCATGCTAGTTTCTGACATTAAGATTGCCATTGACCCTTTCTGTCCATCGCCATCCAGGAGAGGTAATAGATCTAGTATTCCTGGTAGTTTTGATAGTAAGGTGTACATAGATGCTATTGGGGTTCCCACAGGGTTTCCAGATGAATACAAGGCCAGAAATCAAATAGCAGCAGGGTTTGAATAAATTTTCTTGTGGCCTACGACCAGTAAAAATGTTGACTGGATAAATTACCTTTTCTATAACCAACATCCATCCATCCATTATCAATACCGCTTATTCCCTGTTGGGGTCGCGGGGGGAACTGGAGCCTATCCCAGTGGTCAACGGGCGAGAGGCAGGGTACACCCTGGACAGTCCGCCAGTCCATCGCAGGGCAACACACAGGACATACAAGGACAAACAACCACTCACACTCACATTCACTCCTAAGGGCAATTTCCCCAATCTCCAATCAGCCTAACATGCAGGTTTTTGGACTGTGGGAGGAAGCTGGAGAACCCGGAGAGAACCCACGCAGACACAGGGAGAACATGCAAACTCCACCCAGAAAGGTCCTGGTTCCCCCGGGATTCGAACCCAGAACCCTCTTGCTGGGAGGTGACAGTGCTAACCACCACACCACCGTGCCGCCCCTATAACCAACAACGATTTGTTAATTTCACTTATGATGCAATTGAAGGTTTGTCTGAACAGTTGCGTCCCACATTTATTATGACATAGCAAAACAGAATAGCCGTGGATATGCTGGTGGCTGAGACTGGGGGATTTTGTGCGTTCGTAGGGGGCTCCTGCTGTACGTTCATTCCGAAAAACACTGCTTCAGATGGTTCTGTAACCAGAGCTCTGGACGGGTTAAGGGCTCTTCGTGTGGAATCAGCACATAATTCAGGTGTGGATACTTCGTTCATTGGCTGGTTTGACTCAGTTTTTAGTACAGGTGCATTGCTTTTGTTAGTTCTGTGTGTCTGCTGCTTTATTCCGTGTGCCAGGCATTAGATTGTTCGCGCAGTAGATAAGTCTGTGTTTTCTCAGATGATGCAGCACACTCCTCCTCTTGTAGGAAGTTCATTAGACAGTTCTGACGGCTCCTCTGTCTGTGATGATAAGTGGTGTGCTCAATTTGGTGTTTTTACAATGATTTTGGATCCTCTATCACCATCATGCCTTTGTTTTAAACTCACTTCGTGATAGAATGAAGGTTGACGCTATTGATAAAGTTTTGGCTACTTATGAATACTATATTCATTGCATAAGATTTTTGTAGGTTTAATTTATGATACATATTGAATTCTTTAGTAGTGATTAATATGATATGCATCATTATAATCAGAAGTAGGGAGTTGTGAGGGAAATCAATATATGTATAATCACTTTTTTCACTTCTCTAGGGAAAACATACTGCGACAATGAGTCCAGGTAGTTTTGGTTCTCCATAAAATTGAAAAGTTCTACATAAAAATAAGAGACAACACGATTTAGCTCAGCCCAAAGTCGTTTTATTCTTTGGTTATGTACGCTGCGGCCTGCGATCACACTTCTCCGATCTAACCCTCTTCTGCTCAGCATGAAACATGCGACCTCGAAGTTTTCAGTTCCACGGTCACACCGGACTTCTGATGGAAGGCCAAAGTTCCGCACTCCCTCTTCAAATAGCGTCAACACACTAGAACCCCTATTATTTGTTAAACAGTCCAGGTATATAATAGTGCAGCTATATCCGTCCACACATCCGTGGAACACCATTCTCCAATGAATTAGTTTGTGATTTGAATCTATGTGCCTGCAAATAAAGTAAGTAGTTCAACTCAAGGGGCAAATACATTGTAAAATGGGCACATTAATAGGCTTAATACTGGCATATTAAAAACAATAACTCTCACCATAACTCATTCGGACCACGAACATTGTAGGTCCGAATGGCCTGTCGATGACGTACACTTTGTCCAATTGGATCAATTGTATGTAAAGCTTCTCGAACTCGCCTGTGCTGAATATGAATACCCATGTGGCTCAGGCTGGCCCGTATATAAGTCTCGCCAGCATTCGGTGTGCTTTCCAATATGTGTCTGATGTTCGACAGTAGGTTCTCCCGAGTTAGTTGAGTGTATTGTAGTGCTGGTATACCCAGGCGTTGTCGATGGCGGTACAAAGTCCGTCCCCAATCCCAAATAACGAGGCTATTCCTTGCCAATTAAGACCAAGATCCAAAAATAATTGTATCTGTTCTGCTGTAAAATTGGAGTGTGGGCGACCAGTTCTGCTTCTGTTAGTTGGTGGTGGCATGGGAGCACCTGGCATGGATTGTGCACTCTCTTGCCTCCAAGGCACCATGTTGCCCTAAAATATTTGTGATGTAATGGATCGTTCCAGCATGGGCTTCAAGTTCATGAAAACACCTTACAGCTGAATTTACCTGCATTCCTTCGAGACAGTGTAGAACGCGCAAAAATATATCAATAACATCTTCGCTGTTTGAACTGACTAGTAATCGGTGGCATGTGATGAATATCACTATAATTAGCGGTTTCTGCATGTTGTTAAGCTTTGGCCAGACCTTAGGCTGTAGGCTAGACATCCATGTACAATGAACCTGCATAGTGACTTCCGGGTCCCCTGTCGAACTACTTCCGGGTCCACTGAAAGGCCTTCCTGTCGAACTGAAAAAATTTCCCTCTCTCTATCTCTTTCCCCCCTCCCTCCTCTCAGCTACCCCCCCTCCCTCTCTCTTCTCAGCCACTACTTCCCTACTCTCTCTCACTCTCACTCTCTCTCTTCTCAGCCTCTCTACTCCCCCCTCTCTCTCTCAGCACCCCCTCCCCCTGTCGTCCTCCATCCCCTGTACCTGTACTCTCGTACATTTCCACAGTGCAGAGAGAAATAAAGGTGGTGAGTGACTGTATTCCAGTGTGTTTTGCCACCCATAAATGTATAAGTGAAAGTCCTTTTTCAGTATGGAGAGACAGTTTCAGTAGAGAGGGGAGAGAATTCCATTGTCTTTTGGCCTACACGGCCTCTCATAGTAAACTTCATCAAAGCTCGCCCTTCTAATAAAATACTTTTTGCCCAGCTGTGCGAGGACGAAGCGCATAAAACACTGCTGCTACACACCGAGGTGAGGTGGTTGTCGCGTGGACTCGTGCTTGTGCGTTTTATTGAGCTACAAGAAAAAATAAAAGAATTCATCCAAGATCACAATCGGCCACTCTTTGAACAACTGACTGACGCGTTTTGGATCAAAGCGGCTTCTCTGGCAGACACATTCACTTTGTTCAATGAAACAAACAAGCGGATGCAGGGGCCAGAATCAAACATCATGCTTTGCAAAAACGCCCTGGACGCTTTTGTGCGCAAACTGAAATACAGAGTCTGTAAAATGTCAAAGGAGGACTTGCAGCATTTCCCGCTGCTGCTGAAACAGTCTGGTGGCGCTGTGCGTGCGTCTTTGCGCACGGAGTTTACGCGGCACATGAACCTTCTCCGCGATGAGATTCAGAGCCGCTTTGCCGACATCGACCAGTATTTATCCAGAGAATTATGGGTGTTGGACCCCTACGTTTCCACCCTGAAGGACGTAGAATACATCGGCTGTGAGGATGAGCTTTATGACCTTCAAGCTGATTCCGTGTCCAAAAGAGTCTTTAATTTATGCATGTTTGTAAATTAGACCTGAAAAATATATTGAAAATGTTGAAATGCTGATGAAAGTTAAGCTTAGGTTTGAAGTTTATATGTTAGCTCTCTTTTTTGGAGTTTTTAGTTAATTTCTGTGCACTGTACACCCGTTGGCATAAAAAATACATTATTAATAAAAAATAATAAGAACAAAATGACATAGCTGCCATTTATTCTTTATTTTTCAAATAAATAAATGTTCATTACAAATCACTTTAATCTTTTGATACGTTTGTGCGGGCCTGTGTAAGGCTTGGGGGGGCTTGGTCTGTCTTGGACTTCAGCAGGGGGGCTTCAAGAAAAAAAGGTTGAGAACCACTGATTTAGTAGATAGTCTATAGTGGAATATATCTAAGAACGTATGCAACCATCTGCAGTTGTGGTGTGGTGTTGGGCCTCATTAATTCTGGCTGGCAGGGGAAAATGAAAAACGGTGAACCAACACACAAGACCTACCCAATTCAACAAATCAATGCCACATAGATCAAACAATAATGTTCAGCATCATGAAAATGTAAATATATCAATCTACTACATACCCAGCACTGTCTGTCCATAAGAATTAAATTTGATGTCAACTCCCACACCAAGCATCTTTTTCGTATGTTCTATGGTTGCTGAATTGTCTGCTGTGTTGTAGTGATGTAATATATTCCTCACCAAAAACATGTGAGAGGAGGGAGTCATCATATTAAAAAAATTATTATTCTTTTTCATCCCCGAGAACAGCTGTTCGGCACATTGACTTTTCAGCCAGCCGCATAATTCTGGGGCGAGATCGACCCTTTGCAATGCATCTCTGGCATCTTTAGTATTGGCTTCATGAAACCGGTCATACAGAGCATAACGCCCTGATGACCCGGTGATAGGGTGGCCATTAACATCAGGAACCTCCTTTTTCTGGGCTAGCCACGGCAAATTGGCTTTGACTTGCCCTGAACTGGCAAGCAAAATATTTGACAGGGTGGGCTCCAGCAGCCGTCCATCGTGAGGTCTGAATATTTCTGGCTGCCTAGTATTGGCATGTGTTGCCAACCCTCGTGCAAAGTCATAAAGTGTGATGTTGGGGAAGTGTTTCATTGAGGTCGATGAAGTACCTTGGGCTTTTAGCTCTAAGGTTACATTTCACGGCATACACCACAGCACATGGGGATGTGACTGCTGCCCAGCCACCTGTCAGAGAAAACAGGACATACAATGACTGAACTCCTCCAAGCAAATGTGTTCAACATATTCAAACTTTCAAATCACTGCATATTAGCGACCTTACCAGAAGCACCCCAGATATGTGAAAACACATCATCGTATGATGCACGGTTTTTCATCTCCGTCTAGAGTCTTATTATCAAGTCCAGATGTGACCCCTTAGGGTCAACCCCACACTGCCTGCACACAGCTTCCATCTACAATGAACATTAGCAACTTGTTTAATGCAATAAACTACTACTTCACTTTTGGCCACAATGTGGTATCCTTGTTAACAGACACACAAAAGAATTCAGGATCAATACCTTTAGCTTCAGGAGTTCATCTTTAAGACGGTCCTCTGTCACAGTCAATTCCACCTCCTCATTTGCACTGTGTGGTGAATGTATCTTTTTGTATTCCGTGTTTAGGACCACACTTGTGCCATATACATACAATTCCAGTGTATAAAAAAACGCAATGAACCCTGAGATCAATCGATAGATAGATACTTTTCTCAATCCTGAGGGAAAGAAATTGACAAACATTTAATAACACCC